ACCATTAGTAAGTACGTTAAAGAATTTATAAGATTATTTTTTTAATTTACATCGATTGCGTATTACGGTGACAGTGAAAGGTTGTCTTTGGCTCAAAACTTTAGCTGTTGTATTATAATTATCAAAAAGAATCGCGTTGGCTAGAAAGAATCATTAACAAAACTTAGTCAATGGTATCTACTTTTTATTTCATATTCATTGACTATTATTAAGCGCTATTAGGTTGCAAGTTTAGCTTAATTTATCGCATTATTCAGTACAATTACGTAATAACTCATCGAATTTGAATTATAAACAAAAGCTTATCACGTAGCGACCGACGTAGCGCATTCGTAGCATGACTCGTAGCAGCGGGATAGATCTAATGAGGGGCACTGATATTGTAGCGCTCAGCCGGCGGCCAACTCCAGCGGCCTTTATAAATTGGTTTCATGCATATTTATTTATTCAAATATTTATGAATTGAAATCTCCACAACTACTGAAATATGCCCTCTCCGGACCAGAATTGAATCAACAAGGTAAATTAGGTAGACGCGTGCAGTAATAAATAATGTTTGGTTTTAGACCGATCCGAATGGAAACTAACTAAGAAAACTCCTCTTGTGGTAGTATTCAAAGTATTCTTCATAAAGTTTAGCTTTCGAACGAGAAAGCTGCGAACATTTTTTAAGTTTTACTCTCCTGACGATTCAGGGAATTGGTGCATAATGACCGAATTTCTGCACTTTTGTGATGCACGTGCAGTTTTTAATGAACGTTTCTATAGTGCGTACGCAGTCAGGCCTTAACTGATAGATTTATAATATCTTCACTAAAACGAATATAATTATAAGCTTTGCATATTTTGAGATTGTTTAGTTAGACTTTTTTTCTGAAAATACGCTAGAATACTAATAAGTGTAATCAACAGTATCATATACATACATTGTGTCAATGAGTTTTTAAATAACTTAGTACAAACTATTTCTTTTAAGGAAAACACGGTAACAATATACACTATTAGGAAATTTATATCAGTGAAGAAATATTATGTCGTGTGAAATTTTAGTAATTCACCTTACATTTAAAATATGGCAACAAAATGTATATAAACAAAACGATGTTGTCAATGGACATAAATCATAAGTCGTGACGTGAGTGTGTAAAAAGCTTAAGAAAAACAAAATAAGTTAGTTCTCTGCATTTTCTTCAGTCAGATATTTCCTTAGGCAGACTTCAAAGCTCAAAATTGAATCGCAAATTATGGCCACCGAATCTAGATGCGCATTATATGTCACATAATGTATTCGATAGGACTCCAACGTTAGGGCTACAATTTGGTAGATATTTTACTGGTTCATACATAAAATTTTTCGCTGAAATTCTGACAACTTGGAAAGGCTGATAGAAACATGTGGGCAGAAAAGACCAATGGTCAATCACCTTACAGGCATGCTTATTACTGAAGCAAGACTGCCGAAGATAAAAAAAACACGTGGAGAAGAATAGACACGACTGTCAGAAATAAAGGTACCGACTCAGATAAAGAAGAAAAAAGTTGTAAGAAAAAAAATAGGAAAAAGCAAATTTTCGTGCCATTTTCTAAGTTGACTTTTAAAACATACATTCGAACAGGCTTGATAAGTGAGGGAAGCTTCTCGAATTGGAAACTAATTAAACTCGAAGGCACGAATCAATACTTACAGTTGTGAATTAAGACATTTCTACTTGCGGAGGTAATTGGGCAAAAGTTCATTTCAAATATTGATATTGGTGTAAGGAAGATTTTACTTTGAATTGAAGGAGATTTTAGGTGGTGCGTGCAAAGTTTCTTAAGATTCCTATTCCTTCTACCGATAAAGTCATGATACTACAATCTTATATATGAACTGCCTTAATAGCCAACAAAATGGATCCCGGAAAAACTGCGGATGAGAACTTCGCTATCCACGATCTGCTGCCATAGGATCCTCGTTTATTTTGGTCACCTGCCCGTAGATAACCACAGGACCTCGACAAGGCCATTATGGTTACTAGAGAGAAAAACCTGACGATTAATCATCTTGTACTTATCGAGTACTAATAGCCACATAAGGGTATCAATTCTTTCATCAGCCAGAGTGCAAATCTTTAAGGATATCCCTGGGCAAAGGGATAAACAAAAATAGGACGATTCTTTTAATGTCTCTCCTACATTCTTCGCTTTCATGCTTTTAATAGACAATTTTGTTAATTCATCATTCAAGTCATTTGTATTTTTTTTTGTTTTTAATTGCTTAGGTAGATGGACGAGCTCACAGTCCACCTGGTGTTAAGTGGTTACTGGAGCCCATAGACATCTACAACGTATATGCGCCACCCACCTTGAGATATAAGTTCTAAGGTCTCAAGTATAGTTACAACGGCTGCCCCACCCTTCAAACCGAAACGCATTACTGCTTCACGGCAGAAATAGGCAGGGTGGTGGTACCTACCCGTGCGGATTCACAAGAGGTCCTACCACCGGTAAAAATTTGTGAATATGTCATGTGCGTATTTCGTTAGAGAACCTGTCTGCGGGATTTCGTCACCAGAATAGTCGTGTCACTCGATGCGAGTACATCGGGCGTATTATCCTTTAGGCGACGACGGCTTACTGAACCATAAGCTATCCGTTATACTACTGAGTCTACTTCATGTCTTCAGATGCACAACATGTGTCCTGAACTCGATTTACCATCGAGTTCTAGTTACGAACAATTCAATACCACTGATTAAATTAAAAAAATATATATAAATCGCCCCAAATTGCGTCGCGATTCTCATTTCCTAATTTTAATCTCCTTTATCCGAGTAAACTACATTCGATTATAAACGATACGAACTAATAGGACCGTAATTGGTTATCGAACGCAACTAATTTGTTAAACAGCGTATCATCGCCGTGTTACGCAACAAAGCGATTCGATTTCGTAAACAATTCGTATTATCTATACTTCTATACTAAAATTATAAAGAGGAAAGATTTGTTTGTTTGTTTGTTTCGAATAGGCTCCGAAACTACTGGACCGATTTGAAAAATTCTTTTTCCATTAGAAGCCGACATTGTCCCTGATGAACATAGGCTACTTTTTTTTATTTTTATTTTTTGGTTTCATGTGTGTTTTAATGTTTCCGAAGCGAAGCGAGGGCGGGTCGCTAGTTAGATATATTGCGAAGAAGAAAAATAATGATGATATAATTAACATTTAAAGCGGACTTGAACGGACGTGATCCTAAGTGACTTGTTGCAAAAAAAAGAACTATAATATTGCGGGTTTGATTTTTACTACACGATGTTATTCCTTCACCGTGGAAGTCAATCGTGAACAATTGTTAAGTACGTTCATTGGAAAAATTGGTACCTGCCTGCGGGATTCGAACACTGGTGCATCGCTACATATGAATGCACCAGGCGTCTTATCCTTTAGGCCACGAAGACTTCAAGTTGATAAAAATATAATCCAATTTAAGTTTTCCCAAAAAAAAAAACCGTCCAAAAAAACGCTTCTCTAAGTTCCTTTAGATCCCAGCGTCGCGTTTCAAAGTTGTATTATATTCCTGTGCTTACTTTATATTATTTAGCTTTGATATATTTGCAATTTAAGTTGCCTGAAACTCGGCGAGAGTGAGGCCAGATTAAATTACATATTTTTGTGTTACTCTCTAAAGAAAGCAAACGACTTTAGACTGTAAACAAGACAGGGAGAGAGTAAAAAACAAAGTTAATAAAATTGAACGTACGAATATTAATACGCGAATTGGCTTAAGGCTTTTGAAAATTAATAATGGAATTGGTTGAGACAAGTGCCTGGCGTAAGCACGGATTGTTATTTGGGATTTTGCTTATAAAATTTTGAAAATAATAACGCTTTTGGTTTATTAAGAAGAAAACTGGTATTTTGATTCGTTTTTTTCTTAAACATAAGAACATCTATAAAATTCCTCAATATATAGAATCTAGCACACCACCTTACCACGGTATTGTCATATTTACGTTTTAAGCAGCCAAATGCATTTCAATATTACAATGGTCGCCTTAAGAGCTTACAAATCGCTACCTGAGCAATTCTGTACGGTAAATACCAAAAAATATGTCTATTTATGCCGCATTGCAGTTATGGTAAGTGGTAAGGTCTTCATTTATATTTGTATGTATTCCAGGCCGGCCGAACCTCATACGAGGTGTTCGCGCCTAGGATGTACGCGGGGTATGTGGGACTTGACAGATATTTGGGGCAGACCGTGGGCCTAGGAATATTATTAGGGCCCTACCCACCAAACGCCCTCCGCCCGTGACCAGAACCCGGGCAAGGTAGGGGGATTCCGGGGGTTAACCCTACAACCAAACTCGCGGCGCCACTCCGAGGACGCCCGACCGACGGGTTGTCGAGGCGATCGTTGACGACTAGCGGCGCCGGTCTCCGCGGTACGGTGGACCGTCTGACCGCCCGAGTGGTGTCGCTGGTGTTCCGGGATACCCGGCTGAGTCAGAACCCAGTGATGACGTATGTGATGATTCAAAAACAGCACGTGAATACTACCGCTCAAATAGACCTGAATTGTAAATTTCTTATGGCCCACCATGTCGTAAATATTCACATTCAGTTCTAGACTATCTATACCAATCATACATCTATCCACTTATGCTAATAAAAAAGACGTGTGGCACTCGGAGACTGCCGCGGTAAAGCTATTGCTTAGCATTTTTTATCAACTTATGCAATTATAAATCGACAATAATAATTTAATATTAAAACAAGAATAAAATAAGATCTTTAGTTTAGACTTCTTACTTTAAACACTACACAAGCGCAACGTGTGAATGTGTTGAACGCGAGCTACATAGTAGTCGTAGTGACTGACGGGTGGAAGGTTTTTTTCGTTACAGAATATCATGATTCCGCTCTCAAGCCGCGCTCAAGGCCCGCGATAAAATCTATGCAATAGCTTAAAAATGTTTACGTATTTTGAAAACTGATAAAAGACTTTTATCATTACCTTTATTCCAATGTGGATTGGGAAGTCTGAAGCTAATGCTGGCTGCGGATGTAACGCCGGCAACAGCGGCAGTGGCAAAGGGCAGGACATCATAGTTGCGCCAACCTAGAAAGAAGAAAAACATCAAAATTAAATAATTGCTATAAATAAGTGGTGTATAGACGCAGTACACTTTTAATGTCAACGCCGTATCTAACACTAGTATCTTTTGTTTCAAGATAATTTAAGGAATGTTAATTGATTCCTAAAAATGTTCATTAATATTGTTTGGAAACTTCATATATTCGCATAAGACATATCGATTAAACGAACAATTGTATGATTAAAATTCTATGCGAACGACATTTCGGTGCAAACTCAAATCATTACGAATTATTAACATAGCACTCTTGAACTCATCAAAGTTTGTTTAAAAATAATACGTAATATACCTTGTCTTAAAACCTAGCGAGAAATATTACTAAGGCTATAAAATTATACGCCTTGTAAAACACTGTATTTAACAAATAAACGACACATTACCGTTTCGCTGGACACATTTAGTTAAGATAAATGAGTCGCGATTTGAGAAAATAAAAAGTTCCCCTGAATATTAGCACAAAAAGTATGTAAATTACAGTTTTAATGGAGGACGCGATGAAGCGACATCTGCTGGGATAATTTAGCGGGGGACACTAATTTCAAAGGATGTACTATAACTTGAACCGGTCGCTCGTTAAGGATTCAAGGAAATATTTAAGAATGCTATCAGGTTTTCGCTTATGTAATTTTTTTTCTAAGTGTTTTTAGTTTTACATTGATGCTTTGCCATGATGAAAATAGTATTTTATAAGGCTTGGGTGGACATTGGACTTCTATTTTAATTGTAAGTAATCCATCACTAGGGTAATATAGAGAAATATGCAATACGTTGTTAAATTGTATAATGAGTTTAAGAAAATACAAATTACATATTGATCTACGTGTCACTTAATAACGACTGTTGACTTGAATCTTTAGGTAACCTTTCATTTAATGGCACTAACTACTTCTGCCAGTCCTAATGTCGTTCAGGATGAAACCAGAAAAAAATTACGAGGCTTTATGATATTTTTTTATTGCTTGGATGGGTGAACGAGCTCACAGCCCACCTGGTGTTAAGTGGTTACTGGAGCCCATAGATATCTACAACGTAAATGCGCCACCCACCTTGAGATACAAGTTCTAAGGTCTCAGTATAGTTACAACGGCTACCCCACCCTACAAACCGAAACGCATCACTGCTTCACGGCAGAAATAGGCGGGGTGGTGGTACCTATCCGTGCGGACTCACATGAGTTCCTACCACTATTATGAATGCGGAAACCGTAAAATCTATTATTAATTATATTCACGACTCGCGAAAATGGATTAAAACACTAAAGATAATTAAAAGTATTTTTGTTGTTAAAAATGTGTATCTAAGATGCAGATTTGATAGTAGTGATTTCGTTAAAACCTTATCGTATTTCTTTTTGCTATAATGTATCAATAAGCGCCTTTAGGTACACAGTTCGGAGATTATATCCTCCTGATTCACTAACGGTGCTTTTAGGTACCTCAAGCACCGGTCATCGTTCTCGTCGAACCCGTCGCTCGCGACGAACGGCTCGACGAGTGAATTAACCCTCAGACAAAACCCTACTGAGTTTCTCGCCGGATCTTCTCAGTGGGTCGCGTTTCCGATCCGGTGGTATATTCTGCGAAGCACGGCTCTTGCTAGGGTTCGTGTTAGCAACGTCGTCAGGTTTGAGCCCCGTGAGCTCACCTACTAGTTAAGGTTACGCTGAAATTGCCTCTCAAGGCTCTCAGCTAGGTAGGGAAAAAAAGGAGATTATAGCCAACGTTACACATTGACGGCTCAAAAAGTCAACATTAATTTAAATGAAGAGATAAATAAAGGACGATTGTGCCGGCTGTCCGTTTGGCCGCCGCTTATATTTGTCACGGTACGAACCGTTCGTAATACCGGCCTGATCTCCGGAGCTTCGAATTCGGCCAGATATATTATTCATAACATTTTCGGCGGACGTACCTGTCCACACGGAATATTAGAGGGGAATATCTACTGAGCTTATTCGGCTTTTTCGAATCCATTGGTAACTAAATTGTTTTCTGTGCATCGGTTTGTTTGTACCCTAGTTTATTTCATTCTTTTTAATGGCCTACAGAGGACTTATGGAGTTAGCGTTCGCCAGTTGACACAGCTTGTATGCTCTGAATATATCCGCTTTGTGCAAAACGATCGTTTACGTTTTAAGTATGAAACAACTTTTGGTCTAAAATTCGGAATTAATGACTTCTCTAAAAAGTACAAAGACATATAATTGGACAAGCTATTGTTATTAAAAGTGACTGCTGCAGTTTTTAGACATAATGATGTCGTTTTTTCGTCTTTACGGCGAGATTTTAAATTCATATTTAATTCGCACTGGTAAAACAGACACTACAAACTTCTAATCATTAAAAGAGTTACATTGCTCCAGTGTTGAACAGGAAAGAATAGCTTCTAAATAAAAGCAAGAATATAAAGGTAATATTTTTATTAACAGGTATCAAGAAAAAAACAACAGCCTTTCGAGAAGATTAAAACCCTTAAATTAACAGCGGGATAAACTATTTATAAAGATCCTCTGCCTCTAGAAGTATCTTATTCAGAAACAGTCAAACCATAGATTGAGCTAAAAGAATCCAATCCAGAAGAAATCCAAGAAGCCAATCCAAAATCTTATTTATTTAAGAATATCTAAAAAGATGAAGAAATGTCGATGTAACGAAAAAAAAAACTGATAATTCTCTAAAACTGTGAATAATAACAAAATAAACACATAGTTTTAATATCCTACAATAGTCGTGTAATCCGAAATACGATTCAATTAAGCTTATGTTATCAAAACATATTTCAATACAATGTTGTTTTTGGGAAGACAAAAAGTTTTAATCGAAATTTTGGAGGCTCAGTTCCGGCTACCCCGAGGGGCCGCTCGTTACAATAAATTAATTAAAACAAGCACTAATTGAATGACATAAAACAAATTAATTGTTCAAGTGTTATTGATAGAAAAGCTCTGTTCAAATGGCGTTTAGCTTAAACAAAACAAGCCTTTATCTGTTATTTGAGTTTTATTGTTTTATTAAGCGTTCGTCTGAATTATTTATTGTTTATGAATGGTGAATTCGAGATTACGTTTCATCATCATCATCATCAACAGCCCACAGTCGTCCACTGCTGGATATAGGCCTCTCCCAATCCATACCAGTGAGCCCGGTCTACGGCTCTCCTCATCCACTTCTTGCCAGCCACCGTTCGGAGGTCATCGCCCCACCTAGCCAGGGGGCGGCCCACGTTACGTCTTCCGCTGCGCGGTCTCCACTCAAGAACCCGTCTGCTCCAGCGATCGTCAGCGATCGTCAACTTGTATTTCAAGGTGGGTGGCGCATTTACGTTATAGATGTCTATGGGCTCCAGTAACCACTTAACACCAGGTGGGCTGTGAGCTCGTCCACCCACCTGAGGAATAAAAAAAAAGAAAATCTTAGCTTAGGAGCCAGATTGAAACAATCGATCTAAAATCGATAATTTCATTCCAGTTTCTGCTTAAAGAAGATCTGATAATTGATACATTAAGGAACAAATTCTGTTATCGCTGACAACAGACTATCTGACCGCGACGGAGCATGAGCAAAACCGAGCTCAACAACTATTCGCGCCTCGGAGTTGTTACTATGACAGTTTGCCTAACTCTATTCATTAAATTAATGACTGCATTAATATAATTTAATGAGTTAGAAACTACGCCGCGGGCGGATACTTTACCGAGACGTTGAGTTGAGGTTTTTTTTTCTCTATATTCGTTTGGTTTCAGACAAATATAACTTTAGAGTTTTCGGTTCACAGTTTTATTGTCACTCATGTCGTTTTTGGAGATCGTGAACTGAACGTGAACCGAGCAGAAGAGTTCTCAGGAATGGCGGGATTTTTAAGCTACCGTACCCTAAAAGGATAGTATGTAAATTCGTACGGGTATCCATCCACTCTGCCTATTTCTGGTTCAAAGTAGTACTGGGTTCTGATTTGTAAGGGGACAGGCGTTATAATACTATTTAATTGGGACGTAGACCCGATTTTTCAAGGAAGGTAACTTCTTTTACGTTATGTTTTGTGGAAGTGGGATTGTTACATGGTAATTTCTACAATAACAACTAAGCATCAAGTCTATTCTTTTTCTTGGGGGCCTGTTTCTGGTTCAGCGAGTTATTCCGGGAAACCAGTGGTATCGCCTAGGGCGGCCTAACGGGCTGCCGTAGGCGTACCGAGATACCCAACGTTGAGTCGTCAACTTTCCCGCGACGTCCCATCGATCGGGCATCTTAGGAGTGGCGCCGTGAGTCTGGTTGTAGTGTAGATCATGGGAATCCCCGACTCTGCTTTGGTTCTGACTCCGGCTGAAGATTGGACGTCGGGTGAGTGCAAGAGGAGTCGTTTGGTCATTAAAGCCCTAAAACATCCATGCACGCGGTCTGCTCCCAACATCTGCATACCGGCAAGTCCCGCACGCCCCCTAGGCGCGAACACCATGTATGAGGTTCCGCCTGCTAGAGAAAAATAAGGTCTAGTCTGTCAGAATAATAATAAAAAATATGTTTAAAACATTTAGTGTCAGTTCAATCAAACATTTTGTAACATTTAATTTACTCTATGTAACATATCTGTAGACCCAATTTAATTGGATCTGACCTGGAAGAGAATGGCACCCAACTCCAGAAATAATAATAAAAATATTCAAACGCCAAAAACAATCAGTTCTGAAATAAGATTCGATTCCTATAATTTTGACGGATCCAATTATTTAATCGCCCTGAACGGCTGAATACCCTCGAAATTAATTAATTAACTATTGGTTTAATTAATTCATCTCGACTCCGTTAAATTTATTCTTTCGGGTGACGGGCAAAGTTACTTAGTTGAAATACTGTGGCAGTTGGATCACGAGATGATTGACATTACTCATGTTTGGCTTGCTTCACATAATGTTAAGAAATATAATGCTTCATAATTACAAAGCTGAAATAGGCGGGGTGGTGGT